TTAATCACCATACATCATTAGTTTTTTTAACTTTCTTTTTTTATTATGTTATATGTTAGTCACCATACAATACATCATTGGTTTTTTGTTGTTGTTGTTTGTTTTTTTATTATGTTATGTTAATCACCATACATTACATCATTAGTTTTTGATGTATTGGTCCATGATTCATTATTTGCATATAATACCCAGTGCTCCATGCAGAACTTGCCCTCTTTAATACCCATCACCAGGCTAACCCATCCCCCCACCCCCCTCCCCTCTAGAACCCTCAGTTTGTTTCTCAGAGTCCATAGTCTCTCATATGTGTTCTGGTGAGCGCTGTGAATTGTGTAAGACTGTTGAATCACAGATCTGTACCTCTGAAACAAATAATACATTATATGTTAAAAAAAAAAAAAAAAAAAGACGAGCCAGATGGTAAGATTTTGACAAGGAGCTGACCCATGAAAGAAGTCTGAATACCAACCTGTGGTCAGAAACATTCGGTTTGCAGGCATGTCGTTTTTGTTTCCATGGTTTCTTGAAAACCGAAATGCTGAACCATTCAAATAACTTTTCCATCATCACATAATCAAATCACTTAAGACAGTGGAAATATAATTCATGATTTCTGACTCGTTTTTCTCAGAAGGCTTCAGAGATTCCCTTCATAAAACTAAGTAAAAAATGTTGACCAGTCCCCCCAAAAATGTGACTTCTATGTGAGTGCCACCATAAATGGAGCTCTTAGATATCTAAGTCACACTGTCTCTAGTAACTGATATTCCATAGCACTTTTTACTTTTGGAGGGGTACTGTCTGAAGTGAAGACGAGTGTAGTGGACCTATTTGAGTTCTAGTCCAGACCTGGGACCCCAACATTACCATCAGGTAACAAGAAAGATAGCCCCCTTTTTTTGGAAGAAATAGTTATAAAGAAAATAAATTGCCACCTTAAATCTCACCCCAAATTATTAGACCAAGGGGCTGTGTGGCTTTGGGCAAGCTATCAAACTTGAAACTGCCCTCCGTTTCTTTATCTGGAAAATGGGGATAATAGTAGTTTCGTCTTCATAGGGTGGTTGTGAGGATGAAATGAGATAACCCCATGCGAATGCTGAGCACAGTGCCTGGCAATAAATATGCCCTGCTATTTTGACCTGCTATTTTGGTTTGATGCTTCGATGCAGCTGACTAGGATATATGCGGTATATAAATTTGTCACCAGAGAGAGAGAGCCACAAACTAACTGATTACACACTAGAAGAAAACAAAAATGAGTAAAAATGCTGCAGAAACGTAGGGAAATTTATTTCTGAGTTCAGACACTGGTATGTTTCAACATTGCATGTGCTATATTGTAAGCAATCATATCAAGTGAGGTCTCTTAATTTTTGTTTCAGGAAAATTAAAGTATTTTGCAAATGTAAATAGCCTCGCCCTGATGTAAAAGTTTTGTAAGGTTAGATGTTTCTATGTTTGTATATGATATTGTGACTAAAGTTTAAATACATTATTTACTATCTGAAAAATAAAATTTAACTATAATATGTGCCAAAAATCAGTTGAGTTCATTTTGTATCGCCAGATCCCACCCCCACACCCCAAACTGTAAGCAACCAGCAATAACTCTATACTGTGCAGTAACCTTCTTCAAATTCAAATCTCTTTACATCCCTTTGATTTTTGAATAATTATAATACTAAAATTATATTTTCTTTTTTTAAGATTTTATTTATTTGTTTGAGAGAGACAGAGAGAGAGCATGAGCAGAGAGAGGGAGAAGCAGACTCCCTGCTGAGCAGAGAGCCCGATGTGGGGCTCCATCCCAGGACCCTGAGATCATGACCTGAGCAAAAGGCAGACGCTTAATGGACTGAGCCACCCAGGAGCCCCTAGAATTATATTTTCTTCAGTTTTATAGTAGTGTCTTAGAAATGATCCCCAGTTTTACACCATTTAAGATTTTATTTGAGAGAGAGAGAAAAAACAAGAAGAAGGAGGAGCAGAAGGAAAAGGAGAAAGAATCTCAGGCAGACTCCACACTGAGTGCAAAGCCAGATGCGGGGCTCAATCTCACAACCCTGGATCATGACCCAGGTGGAAACCAAGAGTTGGAAGCTTAACCAACTGAGCCACCCAGGTGCCCATACTTAAATTTGACTTAGTATTATTATTAATATACCTCAAACTAAGATTTTCTCTCATACAATAAAACCACTAGTGTTTTTTATGTATATGAAGTGAAGAAGAGAAATGACAGAGTATTAAGCAGCTGAAAATACCTCTGATTTAGCAATAAGGCACAATAATAGTGCTATTATTCATGCTAGCATTCTGTTTACTTTAGCTACGGTTAAAATTATGTATATGAAGCTACTGTCCCTGCAAAAATCAATATTATCAGATGCCCGAGTTTCCCACTCTACATTGTCTCAAATACATTGTTTTAACTGTAAAGCAAGGCTTAATCCAATTATCCCTTTTACTTATAGCTAAGAAGTAGAGGACAATCTACTTACTCCATTTGGTGGTATTTTCTTCCCATCTTGCCATCATTATTAATTTGTATAATTAACTTTTTTAGTTTGAGACAACTTAGATTCATATCAATTGTAAGAAATAATAAAGAGAACCCATGTGACCTTTACCCAGTTTTCCCCAATGGCAACATCTTGCAAAATTATAGTACAATATCACAACCAGGATTTTGACACTAATACATACATTTCCATTTCCCCAAGACTCCTCTTGTTGCGTTTTTTTAGGCACACCTTCCCTTTCACCTCCCATCCTCTTCTTACCCCCAGTAGTTACTAAATTGTTCTCCATTTCTATAATTTTTCATTTCAGTGATGTTATGTAAATGGAACCCACATAGTATGTAGCGTTAGTAATTGGCTTTTGTCACTCAACATAATTCCCTGGAGATTCATCTAGGTTGTATCACTTTTCTATTCCTTTTATTGCTGAGTAGGTATTCCATGGTGTGGATTTATCATATTTTTAAAACTATTCATCTATTGAAGGACATCTTGGGTGTTTCTATTAATTGATTATCTATCTGTTTCTACAGCTAAGGCTATAGATCTTCATGTTCCACAAAACAGAATCTTTTCTACTTTACAAAGGTATGGTTTTCCTCAATTTAGTAGCATCTCTCTTGACTTGCATCCAGGTAGACTATCCTTTTGCATCCATGTGAGTGTTGTTTTTAAATATCCAAATCCAGAAGAGATGACTGTCCATGTTCTCTATTGCATCTTGGCCTAGGCTTGAAGAATAGGGAAGAAACCATGGCCCTAGGCAGCACCAAGAGAAAGGCTTAGCTTGTCCCGCAGACAAGACTGGGTCGCCTGTCTTTTTCGAAACACCCTCCTAAATGTGATTTTCATGCTTCAGTCCCCAGATGAAAAGACAGCATAATTCAATTCTGAGTCCCCAAGTCAGTGGACCCTTAAAAGAAATGCTCTCTTCCACACATGTATAAAGAGATAGCCAAAGATAATCCACCTCTCTTAGAGTTATGCCTGAGAACTAATTGTCCTAATGTAGTTAACACACTCTCCCATTTTGTTGAAGAAGATATGGATATTAGTCATGATCCACAAGCAGAAAAAGTAGAAGGAAAACTGTCTATGCTTATCCCAGAGACAAAACAGTAAAAGAAACAAAGTTGTTTTCTTGTGCCAGACCAAGGATTTCCCATATGTGTCCATTCAATGAACATTTATAGAGTGGTCAGATATCCCGCTGAATATTGGGGGTACCAGGTATATAACACTGAGATTACATAGTTCTCAATATTGGGATATTAGATTTATTATATCCTGACCAGGAACTCAAATGAAAAGAGCATATGAGAATAATGAATGATCTCTTACTAGTCAGTATTGTTAACAAATGTATTGGGTGATGGCCTGGGAATATCCCCCTTTTAAAACAGAGCTCATTGGCGAAGGGCATCTCTGAGAGGAGGGGACATATATAAAATTATATTACATAATATCATTTATAAAATTTCATGATTAGATGTATAAAAGATCATATAATGTATAATTATATATTATAAAAATAATTTATTATCTATTATATAATTATATATAAATGTGTATTAAAATTCATATATATATATATGAATAAATTCCAACAGGTATAAAAACTTGTTGCTCTAAGAAGAGAAATGAGGGAAAAATGGGAGGAAAATTTTTCCCATTGAGCCTGATTATCGCAAAATCTATAGAAGGGAGTTAGAAAATCTTAACATTTTCTTCCTAATTCTGGGCCTCTAATAATTAATAGAGGGCTACAATGGAGAACAGTGATACTATTTATTTGTACACTCCAGACAGAAGTGGGGTTATGGTTTCTTTTCTTTTTTTTTTTTTTTTTTTAATAAGGGGCAATGGTTTCTAAAAGAAATGTCAGCCCAACAAGTTCTGAAAATTTTCTACAAGGAGAATTAAGATCATTACAGTTTGGGGCGCCTGGGTGGCTCAGTCGTTAAGCGGCTGCCTTCGGCTCAGGTCATGATCCCAGAGTCCTGGGATCGAGTCCCACATCGGGCTCCCTGCTCAGCGGGAAGCCTGCTTCTCCCTCTCCCACTCCCCCTGCTTGTGTTCCTGCTCTCGCTGTCTCTGTCTCTGTCAAATAAATAAATAAAATCTAAAAAAAAAAAAGATCATTACAGTTTGTACATTTTAGTCATTATTAGATTTAGTTAGTATGAAATTAATTCATCAAACAACAATTCATTGAACAACAGCAACAGTACTTTCTAAGATTCATTGAATACTTACTATATACCTTACCCTGTTCGAAGCTCTTACATTACAAATCTCACTAAGTCCACACAGCAACTCTCTGAGGTCCTAGTTATTACTATGATTATCCCTGTTTTGTAGTTAAAGATACTCCAGTTTGGGGAAGTTGTTCCCTAATGCCACTGTAACAAATTACTACAAACTGCATGCCTTAAAACAACAGGAATTTATTCTCTCACAGATCTGGTGGTCAGAAGTCCAAAATCAAGGTATCAGCAGGGCCACACTCCCTCTGAAGGCTCCAGCAGTGGGCATTACCTTGCCTCATCCAGCTTCTGGGGGCTCTAGATTTGTGGATGCATAACTCCAGTCCCTGCCTTCATTTTCACATCACTTTCTCCTCTGTGTGTCTGTCTCAAATAGCCCTCAGCCTTTCTTTTATAATGACACTTGTCATTGGATTTAGGGACCATCCAAATAATCCAGAATGATCTCATCTCAAGATGCTTAATCTAAGTACATCCGTAAGACTCTTTTTCCAAATAAACTCACATTCACAGATTCCAGGTGTTGAGGCAGGGACATATCTTTTGGGGGGCCACCAGTCAGCCCACTACAGAGATTAAACAATTTCTCCCGATCCACACAGGGCGTAAGGGGCAAATTCCAGCTCTTTGACCCAGTGTATGTGCTCTTCACCACATCACTATTCACAACTGCTCCCTGACAAGTTAGATGTTCACCAAGGAGAACATTCCTTAGTTAGGAAATAGAGGAGACATCTAATATGTTACATTTGCAAGGCATTATGAAAACATTAACCTTTCTTAAAACACACTAAGTTCAAAATCCTTGAATATGAATGCTAAGTATTGTCCTGAAAATGACTTTTTTCATAGGAAATATTGAAATGGCCAAATCATCTTTCTTAGTTTCAGTCTTTTTGAATGATGCTGATTCATTATTATTCAGTTGGCTTAAGTACAGGTGGGCAAGTCTGACAATTGCAGTACCTTGTGCATTCTGATTCAAGTAGTCTGGCTTATCTTTATGGATGTAATTATTGTTAATACCCAATCAGGAAGCAGCAATATTCTTCTCTAACACGAGAGAGTCTGCACAGGTTCCGTTGATCGCTGTGGCAGAACCACACCCTGGGGAAGAACAAAGAAGAAATCATGAACATGAAAAATTTTCCCCAAGAATTCTTATGTCTTTCTTTTCTTTTCTTTTTCTTTTTTGGTTATAAATTGGGCAAGAATATACTATCACTGTTAAAAAATGTTTCTTGGAGATTTTTAAAGTGCTCTACCCCTATGGCTTTTAAATGATCTATTAGTTGGGGAAGAAAGTGGGGAAAGAATAATAGTCTTTTAACTCCATTTGTCTGAAAGAGAAATTTACCCTCTCCTAATGATGGAGCATTATCATCCCCACTCTTTAATGGTCCATAACAAAACAAAATACTCAGAGGGCGCATGAGCATAAGACCTAGCAAAAAAAAAAAAAAATCACAACTACCTGCTCTGGGCACCATTAAAGCCAATGTGAAAATAGCCTGTTTCCAGAGGAATTAATTTGTGTGATAGTCAAACAGAATTCTGTTAGCAAGGGTATCTTTTTTTTTAAATATCTATTTATTGCTTTGGGCACAAAAAACATATTTGCATGCAGTAGTCATTTAGTAAAAGAGTCAAAAAACAGAGAGTAAGGCTGAGAGAGACTGTCTACTTTCAGACACAGAGGCAACAACCAAACTAAAACACAGTTCAGGTACAAATACGGAATTTCCAAACCAAATTAAAGAAGTCCGTTATCTTTCTAACAAAACTGTAGCAGCTTGCAGAACCTTTGTTACTTTGCTTTGACAGGGAAGTTATTTTTTTTCTTTCCTACTATAGATCCTGATATTCTTACCAGATACCACGTTTGTAACTTCATTTTCTTCATCTGTGTGTGTCCAAAGCACTTTCTTTTTTACTGTCTTATTTGTCTATAATAATAGTATGTTGTAGAGAAAAAAGTAATCAATCAGTAGTGGTTATCGAGCTATTTATATGGCCTACACTCACTGTGCTAGGTGAAGTAGGAAGTTCAGAGGAAGTTCAGAAAGGATATAATTAAATATAAATAAATAAATAAATGTGGTAGAGAAAGTGCTTTAAGAAGCAGTAGTGAATAAAAGCTTCATAGAGCAGATGGAGACTTGAGCTTGGCCTTGGACTGGGAAAAAGATGGAACGCTTTCCAGCACAGGAAAAGCACAGAGGTAAAATGCTCATTCATTTATCCCAATAGCTAACATAGTGCCTGGCACATACTTGGCACTCAGTAAATATCTTTGGACTGTTAAATGATTAATAACGTACACAGATAATATTGATTTAGGGGTGACCTTGCATCTTAAAGAATTCTAAAGTGATGCAGAGTGCTTTAATATGACAACATGACTCAGTAAGCAAGAAAGTACACCATTATTAACTTCCATTTTTCTGTAGTACAAATAGACCAGTCCCCTCTTCCCCCTCCCCACCAGAGTGGCTGTGACATGGCTGGAACATGGACACAGCAAGAATTTGAATTTTTATGCAAGAATTTTCTCCTGGATAGTCCACATAGACTGGAGAAAGTGCAGGTCTGGAAGGGGGTTAGGAGAGATCTTTAGCTCATCCACTTTTTCCCACCTTTATCTTGAGGTCAACCATGCTTAGCAAGTGTCCAGTGATGTAGTATTGCTGTATCAAAATCAGATATCCTAGAGAGCCCTTCAGTGATAAGTGATGGCTGACTGAAGCTATTCTCTTCAAACTAGTCTCTCAGCTCGAGAATAATATTTTTTAAAAGATTTTATTTATTTATTTGACAGAGAGATAAAGAGAGAGCACAAGTAGGCAGAGCGGCAGGCAGAGGGAGAGGGAGAAGCAGGCTCTCCGCTGAGCAGGGAGCCCAGGATCCCAGGATCATGACCTGAGCGAAGGCAGCCACTTAACCGACTGAGCCACCCAGGCGCCCCTCAGCTCAAGAATAATATTAAAGAGCCAAGAGCAAAGTTCACTGAGAAAGCCGTAATTTCCGTCTGCATTGGTACTAGGTAATGCTTGAATTCCAAGTCCAGCCGGCTGGAATGAGAATATTGCTCATTAGATACCACAGAGCCCTGTGTCTTCTCTTCATGTCTGATGTTCTTTCTCGCCTTTAAATGGTACCCACAGAGGATTGAAATGTGCTTTTTAGCATTTATTGGATATATTGGCTAAAAGCTTATGTTTATGCTGCTTGATTTTGGAGCAGATGGTTAATGAATGTGCTTGTGTGTGTATGTGTGTGTGTTCAAATGGCTTTCTCTAAAAAGAAGGCAGAAGTTAAATCAAATTCTTTCATTTATTCGTGACTCTCAGTTGATATCATTACCCATGTGTATCCATAGCTCTCAAAGAGGTCCATAATCTTTCAGATAGTTTCAAATTTCTCTAATATATTTAAATCTTATTTTTAATATATGGTAAATATTATGTATATTGAAATATTAACAATTCCACTTGGCTTCTACAAAATACTATCCATCAGAGAAGTGATATCACATATGCTCTCCCATGGCCCTGTGTCCTTCTCCCCATCTTTCTCACTCTCCATGATCAAAACTGCTTCTTATAGGTTTGTTAGACAAAAAAATAAGTAGGAAACAGCATGACCTTTATACTTTCTTTCCCACCTGTACTAATTGGTATGTGCCAAATTTACTGTGATAGAATGCTTTTATAATTCTAGTGTCAATGGACAGGATTAATATCAATATAATAGACTATATTTCATGGCTACATCCCTGAGGACCTAGTCTACCCTGTGATGTTCCTGAACTTATGAGCTAACAAACTGCTACATAAAGTACTGGCAGGAATGTGAGATAAAAAGCCCTTTAAAACCTCCCTGGAAACACCAAGAGCATCCTTAGTGGCAAATATAGGAAAAGAGTAATAAATTTTTATTTCACATAATAAATGTTTCAACATAGTATTATAGAATGATATTTTCTTCCCAAATATTAACATGACATTGAGGTATGACATACATTATAGAATATATTCTGTGACACTTCAGAAATCTTTAGGATTATCATTGAAATGGAAGAATACACACATAGACTCTGTGTGTGTGTGTGTGTGTCCCATCAAAGATATGATGTCAGCCTTCATGGAAACGCTTACCTAAAAATCAGCCTAGGAAGCATGTTCTGAGAGAGACTCCTTATCACATGCCCTTGACCCAGCCACCTCATTTCTTTTTTTTTTTTTTAAGATTTTATTTATTTATTTGAGAGAGAGAATGAGATAGAGAGAGCATGAGAGGGGGGAGGGTCAGAGGGAGAAGCAGACTCCCCGCTGAGCAGGGAGCCCGATGCGGGACTCGATCCCGGGACTCCAGGATCATGACCTGAGCTGAAGGCAGTTGCTTAACCAACTGAGCCACCCAGGCGCCCTAGCCACCTCATTTCTTATCTTGAAAATTCATCACCTACATGTGAATATTTTCTAATACATTTTCTTCTCTCTATTCTTCCGTAGTAAGGTTCAACCTGGAAGGGCTCTACTCTTTTTGTGTTCTTTTCTGTAATTCATTTTTTTTATCCCGATAAATATCATCTGCAGCTTTTTATACCAAACTCAGCACTCAATGGTGGGAAGCTATCCAGTGACAAAATACACCAAAACCAGCAAGATTTCCCATGAGAGCCAAGTACCCCTGAAATGATTAATTTCAACCACTGGAAGATACCATTGCTTTGCTTTCTTTTTTTTTTTTTTAAAGATTTATTTATTCATTTGAGAGAGCGAGAATGAGAGAGAGTACATGAGAGGGGGGAGGGTCAGAGGGAGAAGCAGGCTCCTCGCCAAGCAGGGAGCCCAATGTGGGACTCGATCCCGGGACTCCAGGATCATGACCTGAGCCGAAGGCAGTTGCTTAACCAACTGAGCCACCCAGGCGCCCCATTGCTTCGCTTTCAAAGCACCCTTATGTGTGGGAAAATATGCAACATCATCTCACTTGGTATATGCAAATGAAATAAATTTATAATAAGTTATCCACCTACACAATTTACCAAGGTTCTGATGTATCTCTAGATCAGTTATTTCAGTTAGACCAAGTACACATAAAAACTAGTATCAATATAGAGTATACTTTAAGTTAGCTCTCTTAAATTTGTAAAGAGTAAAAAGTAGGTGGAACTAATAAGAAGCTCCTTGCCTATTTAATATACATTTCCCTAATAGTTTGAAAGAACTTTAAACCTGCTCATTATGTGCAAGATATTTATACATTTAAATGCAAATTTTTTTTAAATGGCCTTCTTTTTGGGGTGCTGGGGTGGCTCAATCAGTTGAGCATCTGCCTTCGGCTCAAGTCATGATCTCAGGATCCTGGGATCAAGCCCTATGTTGGGCTTCCCACTCAGTGGGGAGTCTGCTTCTCCCTTTCCCTCTGCTCCTCCCCCTGCTCGTCCTCTTTCTCTCTCAAATAAATAAATAAAATCTTTTAAAAATAAAACAAAAGAAAATAAAATGACCTTCTGTTTTACTTTTAACTATCCCTAGTTTTTCTACACAAGAAATGGGTTTAAAAAAAAAAGAATAAATGGGTTACGGAGTGTCTGGGTGGCTCATTAAAAAACATAAAGTCTGTTAAGCGTCTGCCTTCGGCTCAGGTCATGATCCCAGGGTCCTGGGATCGAGCCCCCCATCGGGCTCCCTCTCCCATATCCCTGTTTGTGTTCCCTCTCTCGCTTTGTCTCTGTCAAATAAATAAATAAAATCTTTAAAAAAGAAATGGGTTAGTAATTTAATACAAAAATAGTGATAGGGACTATGTCTTACTCATACTGATATCTCCAGCCTAGCTCAGTGACTGGCATTCAATATAGTTTGTTGAACAAAAACATAAATAAATGAATACATGAATGAATGAGTAAATGAGAGCAAATGAAGGAAATCACCTGGAAGTTAATACAGAAAATTAGAAAAGATCTACACTAGTGAAAACTCTCTCTTTCCAATAATTTTAATACATTAAAGTCATAGCTTATATATGGGTACCCTTGCTATAAAAATAATTTTATTTTTATTAATTTCATAAATGTTTCTTCCAAAAAACAATGACAG